CATGGACCCGAGTTTGATCCCTGGTACCAAAAAAACCCAAAAAGACAAAGAAAAGATCACCTTGCTACTTAACACTACATATTGACATGGGCAATAGTCATTCTCAAGGTCTGGGTAAGAGTAGCACAGATTTCTTTTTTTTTTTTTCTTCTTCAGTACCGGGGATCGAACTCAGGACCTTGCACTTGCAAGGCAGGCACAGCACCACTGAGCTAAATCCCTGGCCCAGATTTATTTCTTTTAGCTGGGGAACTATTGCCCCTAATTCACACTCAGATTACTATTCTAAATCAGGAATCACTCAGAATAGAATACAATATCTTGTAACTTGTCATATATTCATTGGACATTTGTGTTTTATCTGGGAATTGCCTGCTAATAGCCTTTGGCCCCTTAACTTTTACTCTGACTTAACAGGTAAGGGATATAAATTCTCAGCACTCCTCAAGGCTAGTCCTCCTGCCTGGAAGTCCATTCCACGTAGTCCCCCATGCCACAGCTTAAACAGTATGAAGCCTTTGAGAAGGTTCAATGACTCCTGCTGACTTTGGTTAATCATCTTCCACCCCAGGGAATAAACTTTTTCTTTCAAAGCTTTCTCCATACTCCTTTTACCTGCTAGTTTGAAAGCTATTTTAGTGCAGGGGATGTCTCTTGTGTTCCCAAGCCACACACATAGTTGGCACTCAAATACCAGTTAAATAGGCACAAGAGAATCTTATGAAGCATGTCTCTAGACAAAAAGATGAATAAACCAAGCATGGTGGTACATGCCTATAATCCCAACACTAAGGAGGCTGAGGCAGGAGGATTGCTGCCTGTTCAAGGGCAGCCTGGGCTACATAGGGAGTTCATGGCCAGTCTGAACTACATATTGATATCCTGTCTCAAAAAAGGAAACAAGGGATAATAGATAACGTGAAATAGGAAGAAAATGGGCAAAGGGGAAGGGGAAGTGGGAGGGGTAGGGGAAAGGAGAGAAGGGAATGGAATTAATATGAGAAAATGAAAAAATGGAAACAAAGTCTTTGTAAATAGGGAGGGATGGAGGGGCTGAAGGGAGGGCAGGGGAAGGGGGAAAAATAAGAACCAAGAGAGATTATGTAAAGGTGCAAATTTCCAATGATGAATGTCATTATATTGTATACCTAAAGTGTACTGATAAAATAAAATTAAAAAAAAAAACAAGGACCAGGGAAAAACAAAACAAAAGCTCAGTGGCACCATGCCTGTCTGACAAGCACAAGGTCTTGAGTTCGATTCCGGTACCGAAGGGGGGGGGGTGTCAAAAAACAAACCAAAACCAAGGGCTGGGGATCTAGCTCAGTGGTCAGCGGTACAGCGCCTGCCTCGTAAGTATGAGGCACTGAGTTTGATTCCCAGTACCAAACAAAACAAAACAAACAAAGATGAATAGATAACTCACAGTCATTCTCTTCTCTCCAAGGCCTGAATCTTCAAATCAACTCTGATCTATAATCACTAACCAATCTAACAGCAAGTATGTCCAAATCCCAGTCCCTACAGATAGTTGTATACATAAATGAGTTAAGACTGTCTTTTACATTATGACAGCAGTTCACCACGAGGTATGAGGTATGCGAGAGAGACACCCACAAGAACCAATTAGGCAGTACTGCATTTTTCAGCTGAGCAAAGCAGATGTCAGACAAAGACAGCTACAGTGTTGAGTTGTTTACAGTGAACAACTCTTTCCTCTCTTCACCAACAATAATTTCAAGACAAAGAATATGCCCACAATTATTTTTGAAATAAGAACAAACTTTTAAGGTCATGGCTCCCTGACAAAGGCAAAAGTATCACAAAATATGCAGTCAACACAAGTTCTTCTGTTTTACACAGCTGAAAGACTTCTAAGGGAATGGAGGGTGGCTCACAGCATCTCCTAAAAAGCTGAGGAGCTGTGCCTGGTAGCATAGACCTGTAATCTTAACACTCTGGGAGGAGAATCTCAAGTTAGAGCCCAATCTGAGGAATTTAGTGAGATCCTCTCTCAAAATAATAATTTTAATGGGCTGGGGATTTAGCTCAGTGACACGGCGCCTGCCTGGCAAATGCAATGTCCTGAATTTGATCCCCGGTACCAAAAAAAAATTTTTTTTTTTAAAAGTCTAGGGATGTATCTCTGGGTGAAGGTCCTGAGTTCAACTACCAACACTGGAAAGAAAAAAACTACTGAGGATGAACAGCTATCAGAATTTTAGAGAAGTGACTATTATACAGAATAAGTTTTATAGGTTTGCCCATAGAATAACCTTTTTCCTTGGATTCTCAGGTAGACTATTTGTTATGATACCTGGACAAATCACTGTTCTCATTCTTATCTTTATAATAAGGTGGGGGGAGCAAAAGACATTAAAAAGTAAACTATTTTAACTCGATCACTTTTAACCAACTCTACAAGTACAGCTTAGCTTCACTGTACTTTTTAAAATTAATCATTTTTTAATTAATCATTATTTCAAAAACTTTTTATTACATAAGCTAGGCATATAATCCCAATATTCTGGGAGGTTGAGGCAGGAGGATCACAAGTTTGAGCCCAGCTTGGGCACCTTAGTGACTTAGTGAGACCCTGTCTCAAAATGAAAATTTTAAAAAAGGGTTGGGAATTCTCAAGTACCACAAAACAACACAAAACAAATAAACGCCAGATGAGGGCTGGGGATTTAGCTCAGTGGTTCTGCCACCTGCCTTGCAAGCACAAGGTCCTGAGTTCGATCTCCGGCACCAAAAAAAAAAAAAAAGAAAAAAAAGAAAGAAAAAACAAACAAAGAAAAAACCCAAACCCCAAAATAAAACAAAAAAACCTAAACAAAACAAATGTCCATTATATAACTGTTTAAACATTCACAAAAGTAGAGACTCCATTACCCCATGATCAACATATACCTATCATTTTTACCTAGAAACCACCACACTTCTCCCACGTGTTCCATCTCTGATCATGCTAAAATCTGCTTCACTTTAGAGGTAAGTACTATATCTCTCAGCATCTGCTTTCTGGTTATTTAGTTAGGAGTCTGCTTTTTTTTTTGTTTTGTTTGGTACCGCGGATCCAACTCGGGTCCTTGTGCTTGCTCAGCAGGCAGTGAAACCACTGAGCTAAATCCCTGGCCCTGCTTTTTTTTTTTTTTTTTAAGATAAAATCTCTTCTACATAGCCTAGGCTGCCCTCGAATTTGTGATCCTACTAAATGGTGAGATCACAGGCATGTATGTCCCACTACATTTCACATGATTTTGACATCCTAACAGGCTAAATTCCATGGAGGATATTGTACATGATACTGTACACCTTCCAAGTCTAGAAGTTTTATAGACCAGTTTTAAAGCTGGGTGTGGTGTGTGAAAGTGTACACCTGTAATCCCAGCACTTGGGAGGCTGAGGCTGGAGGATCTCTGTAAGTTTGAGGCCAGCCTGGACTACATAATGAGTTCAAAGGCAGCCTGAACTACATAGTGAGACCCTGTCTCAACCTCCTCTCCTCCCCTAAAAGAGAATAAATTCAGGCCCAAATGAATATTAGATTCAGAACTTCAAATGGAATAAAGAACCTAGGCATTCCTTTCCCACAGAAGTGGTAAGTGGTTTTAAAATATGTTTACAAACTCTTTGCTATTTATCTCTTCAGAAGGTGAAGTCCTTTGTATTTTGTAACACTAACAAGTAGAATGTGGAAGAAGCCTTAAGACTTCCAAAATCAGGTCATAAAAGATAATACTATGCACATCTGTCTCTCAAGCTGAGGACCGGAGTTCGATCCCCGGTACCAAAAAACAAACAAACAAACAAACAAACATGTGGTGGTGCATTCTTGTAATTCCAGCACTGAGGGAACTGAGGCAAGGGGATGGTAAGTTTGAGTCCTGCCTAGGCAACCTATTGAGACCCTGTCTCAAATAAAAAATAAAAAGGATCTAGGTTCAGTTGCACATGCCTATAATCCCAGTATTCTAGGTCAGGATGTAGAGTCAGGAGGATTGCAAGCTCGAGTTCTATTAAAAAAAAAAAAAAATTGGGAGGTAAACCTCAGTGCAAAGTGCCTGAGTTCAATTCCCCAACACCACAAATAAATAAATAAATAATAAAAAATTTTAAAAGGCTGGGGATGTACCTCCATGGTAGAGTGCCCAGG